TTTTTTTTTTTTTTTTTTATTAACAGTTATCTGCATTTACAACAGTTATCAGCAAATATTCGAGCAATGAGAATTATTAAAACTAAAAATAAAAGAAAAAGAAACGAAACTGCTAATTCAGTTTCAGTTACTTTTGATTGTCGATCAGCTGTTTTTACCTTATTTACATTTTGCTTAACCTTTAAAGATGTGGCAAGTCGTACATATCAACAGAATCAGACAGTATTACACCGGTTGATGCTTAAAAATTATAATCGTGATGAAAGACCGGTTCGTAACCAAAATCAAATACTGATTATTCAAATGTATCCGCATGTTACACATATATCCATTGATCAATCCGAACAAACTGTTATGCTTAACGGTATTATGCATATGGTAACCGTTTTAAAAATGCTTCATTTTTAAGCGTCCAACATAAGTTTATGCTGACGATAAAAATATTGATAAATTATTATCAACTTTAGTGTTAATCCTAAGAAAACTTTACGCTAAAATACGGGTATATCAATATACCTGTTAAATTTTACAGTCTTATCACTATATCTACTTGCAATTTTGTCTCGTTTTTTTTTCTTCTGCTGACTTCAGTTTTCAATTGTCAACCTTTATTTCAATTGTATCGTAAAAAATTTTTTTGATTAGAAATGGAAAGATGAAAATGCAACTTGGGAACCCAGTGAACGAAACGGCGTTCGAGTGACCAATTTAAAACAGTGGGAAATATGGCATCCAGAAATTATGGTTCTGAACAGGTTTTTTTTCAGTATTCTGAAAAAAGAACAAGAACACAGGCAACTGAAGTCAAACTTTTTATTGCTTATCTAATCGTTTAGGAATTCAGATTAAAATAAAATTTTTCAGTGCTACAGGAGTTGGTGATTATTTTCAGTTTTCAAAAAATAACTATGCAACGTTAACTTCTCACGGTCGAGATGTACGTATCCAATATTATCAATTATGTTCAATTATATACCCTAATAACAGATTTTTATAAGTGTCGTTTCACCTTTTTTTTTTCGCTTTTTAGTTATTCATCTCTTCAACAGCAGTGTTTGATGCTATAACAAAAAATAAAAAGAAAAATTTAACAATTGAAAATTCTACAAAATTTTAATAGTCTTAGTGTAAATTAAGTTGAATAAGTTCTAAATGTATCAGTTTTACTATTATTTCTTTAAACTATCAAAGTGTAAAATAAAGAGCCTTGTTTTTTTTTTTTTTTTGTGCAGTAATAGCTAGATTAAATTATTAAATTTTTATTTACAATTATTCTTCAAAAATAACTAATCATGTTGTTGTCTGAATTGGCTCATTCAACAAATATCATCATTTACAGTATACAGAAGTCTATTCCTATCCAAGATTCTCAATTAAAGTTGGATGTCGATTTGATTATTCTGCATATCCAAAAGATATACAAAAATGTATCGTTGGTTTGTACACCAAATATCATATGAAAGATCTGAACTTAACTGTAGCAAATTTTCAAAAAGAATCTCGTCAAGCTATCGGTAGATTCTTCTAACAGCTACAACTAAAGATCAATAAATGTGTTTATCAGTATAAATGCATCCTCTTTGATTTTTTCCTTTCCTCTCCAAAAAAAAAGAGAACAGTATAAACGAATAACGTATGAAATAAGTATATTTTTTCTCAATTATATTTCAACAGTTTATTTTTTTCTTATTTTGTTTACAGAATGGAGAAACTACAGTTCAAAATCTTTAATTAGCGATTGGAAAATTGTTCAAATACATAGTTACAGCTCTTTTTATGCCGGTTATTATGGAACTGATAACACCAATCAGATGGCATCGGCAGTCGATTTTGAAACTGCCGTGTTTGTTCGACAACTGACCTGATTTTTTTTTTTTTTTTTTTGTCTTTTAACCTATCACCAAATTTTTTCAACTTATTGAAGTTTTGTATAAAAAAACCTTATCAACTCTACTTTTTTTTTTTTTTTTTGTTCAAACATAATTGACATCCACAAAAAGATGGCTCGTTTTAGTTCGATGATGCATACAGAAATTATTTTGCAACGTTATGCACCTTATTATGGATTGGCAGTAATCCTTCCGGCCTTTGTATCGTTTCTGTTTCTGATCAGCTCATATCTTCTTCCAAATCCAAGTTCAGCAGTATATTTGTTGATTGCAAATTTTTTTTTGATTGGCATCTTTATTGGCGATATTATACATCTGTTACCCCCAGCCATAGGATCATTACCAAAAATTGGTAGGTCATTTTTTTCACGTTCTTTTTGCCACTTTTTCAGCTAACCTCTATTATTTTGATTTTTTTTTAATCATTTAAATCACACTATCTGTTTCTTCAGTGTATAGCATTTATCTGATTGCAACATCAGAAAGTCACCCTTTTTTTTAATTCCGATAAAAAC